TATTCATTGAGGATGAGCGGGGAGGATATAGAATGGGGGATGGGAAGAGAGTGGAGAAACTCAGCAGTAGCAAACAGGAGGCCTGCTGACCGAAGGCAGTGAGAGAGGTGCCTCTGCACTTCTTGCACTACTTGTAAAGAGGATGCAGCTGAAATGGGGACTGTGCATTTGGTGGTGACACCTGATCTTGAGGATGTGGTTTTCTCCACTGATGCTCTGCAGTTTAGAGCTCGAGCAGAGAAGTCAGTGCTCAGGCTGACCAGGGGTGGAGGTCCATCCAGGTGGAGACAGAAGGGCCAGGAGTCAGAGCATGAGCATAGTGGTCAGAGGGTGGAGAGGAGCACGGGGACCTGGGGGCCAGTGCCCGGGTGAGCATGCAGGGAGAGGTTAGCAGGTGACTGGGGCCAGCAGGGACCGGGATGGGAAGTAGATGCCATATGGATAGCATGAGCCTGTGTGGTTTTCAGAATTATAGGGATCTCTGTGATCATTACAGAATTATAGGGATCATTACATAAATCTTAAAAAGGCAATCAGCATGTAAATGATTTTATTCTTTTCAACAGATAGCATTCCATTGGATGTATGTAGCTTAGTTCATTTCATCACTTCCCTATTGACAAGCATTTATGATGCTTCCAATTTTTCACAAATACACACCAATGGCAGCAGAGACCACAGGTAGGTATGTACATTTGTTGAGAACATCCATACCTTAAGATCCTGGCAGTGGAATTACTTGGTCAAACTAGTATATTTATCTTATCTATCTGTTGATGTAAGAGCAAGTGTGTTTTGAAAGCTTCTGCCAACTTGTCCTCCAAAGAGGATGTGCCCATCAGTAATTCTACCAATAAAGGCCCCAATTTTCTGTTACCCACATACCTACCGGCACAGAATGTTTATCAAACATTTTGGTCTTTGATAACTTGACAGGTAAAATGGGTTTTCATTACCACTCCTGTAATATTTTTTAATTTGAGTGAGGGTGAGAATCACATTTGTGAATTGATGTTCTTTCTTTTCTCTTCTGTAAATAATCTACTGGTTCCAACTGCCAAGGTTCAAATCCTGGCTTTTCTATCTACTAGCTGTGCAACTTTAGGCAATTTGCTTAAATTCTTTGCATCTCAGTGTCCTCTCTTAAAAGGGAGATTTAAAAGGAGGGGGATAATAACACATACCTACCTTGTAGGATTATCATGGGAACAAAATGGCTTAATAGAGGCCAAGAACTTAGAACAGCATGATGTGAGCACTGGCTCGTATTATCCCTGCCTGCTGCCCACTTTTGTGTTGGGTGGTTTGTCTTTTCCTATTGATTCACATAATCAGGAAAGCAGCCTGGTGGCTATCACATGTTGCTTCCTTGTCCTTTATCTTCTGACTTTTTAGAAAAGTATTATATTCCATGCATGTCAAGTGGCTTTTGTTATGATTACAAGCATTTGTATTCTGACAGAATGAAAAAAATTAATTTTTTTCTTTGAGAATCAGAGGACATGTTTCTTGGGGATGAACAATGAGTCATTGTTCTGAAAGTGCAGCAGGGGGCCAAAAAGAATGTCTCCCCAACTCTCTGGGAGAAGAATAGTTAGTCCATCGGCAGGGCTGCAGGGGCCAGGGCCAGGGCCAGGGCAGGTTTAGTGGGGCCAGGCCAAGCTGAGGCTCTGGGGCTGCTCTTCTTAGCCAGGTTCCAGAGGGTGCAGTGGACAAGTGAGGAAGGTGGTGGGAAGACCAGGAATGTGTGCTTGGCAGTGTGTGGGTGACAGAGAGCCCCAGAGCTGGGATCCTGTCTTTGAGCTGTGTGGATGACCACTGGGAGAAGGCTTTGTGAGATTAACTGGCCTCAAAATTCTACTAGGATCTCGCAAGATGGTCCTTGAGAGGCCAGCAGAGGTCTGGGTAGGTGAGATTGGGAAGACTATAGGGCTGTGAACTCTTGTGGCCAGGAGTTTGATTCATGGTGCCTTGGGAAGCTCTCCAGGGGATATTTGTGTGCACAGCCTGGCACGGCAGGGCTTCCAGCACTGGCCTGTGAGTGTAGAGGCAGGAGGAGACTGGCCAGCGCTGGGCAACTAGGAATGCTTTAGGGAGGGGATGGAAGGGCCGAGGGGTGGATGTTTGGCAGGCCCTGGAATGGGGAAATGTTGCTTAAGGAGGCCTGAGGCTCAAAAGCCCAGAGACATTTTCTCCTTTGCATTGTCCTCCCTTAGCTCACTTTCCACATGGAATCTGGGGATTTCCTTGTTGGTAAGAAACTGTGGCCTAGAGAGAGGTAGTGACTAGTCCAGGGTCCCAAGGCAGCAGCAGGCCTGCCAAAGAATTCTCAGCCAGGCTCTAGGGGAGAAGGGGATGGAGGAACTCCTGGGCTGGGGGGCTCCAGAGCACAGATCCCACCAGTGGCTAGGTGAGGAGGGGGACAGGGCCAGTGACAGAATAGGGGTGGGGGGGAGGGGTGAAGAGTGGAGGCAGTGGAAAACAAAAGAGTGGAGGATGAGCCCTGAGGGGTAAGGAAGTTGGAGTGTCTGGGTGTGTACATTAAACAACTGGGCTCTTTTGCCTGTTTGGGCATTAGGGAACTGGGGAGCAGGAGGCCCATAACTGCAAATATTGCAGGGAATTGTATGCTCTTCAAGCTACAACCAGGTATGGTTTTAAGTTAAATCAATCTCTCTCTCTCTCTCTCTCTCTCTCTCACACACACACACACACACACACACACACGAGCCAAGCTCCGTACACAACACCATTAAAGATCTCCTTGGGCCTTCTTCTCCCTCTGGCCTGAGCTGTCCCAAATTCAATGGAAAGGGGAGGGAAGGAAGGGGGCTCATGGGCCTCTCCCCGCTCAGATCACAGAGAAGGGGCTACCTTCTTCAGCTTCATTGGAAGTCCTGTGCCTTAACTGAAATGGCAAACCAGGAAAGACATTCCATCTCCACCTTTCTTCACCAAGAACTCCACCAAGGGTTTGGTCTGAAGTGATAACCTGGCCAGCTCATTAGGAGAGGCTGAAGGTAGGCTAAAGGCAGACAGAGCCCAGTCTGGGAAAAGGGGGCCAGGAGAGGGCAGAGCATGCGGCAATTGGCGCTACCAGAAAGAGAGGCCAGGACTCCGGTCGCTGACTCTGTCCAGCATCCCCTGGTCCGGCACAGTGCTTATCCCCCTCTTGACCAGCTTGAAGCTGCTGGGAATTGTTTGGTGGTGGCTTCAGGTGAGAGAGATGATGAGAATTGGGGGCCTTTAAACTGGAAAGGGCCTTTATTTTATTTATTTATTTTGCAGTTTTTGGCTGAGGCTGGGTTTGAACCTGCCACCTCCAGCATATGAGGTCAGTGCCCTACTCCTTTGAGCCACAGGAGCCGCCCTACTTTATTTTTTTATTAAGTCATATACACATAGATCATGAATACATTTATGCATATGTGGGGTACAATGTATTGACTTTTTAATACAATTTGACGTGCTTACATCAAACTAATCAATGTAGCTTTCGCCTCATTTACTTGTGTTAAGACATTTACGTTCTACACTCGATAGATTTGACTTGCACCCGTGCAATATACTCCACAGGTGTGGTCCAGCTGTTTACCCTTCTTCTATCAAACCTCCCCTCTCCTCTCCCTTCCCACTCTATTTCTTTACTTCATCCTAGGCTATAGTTTTTTTTAAAAAGATGGAGACTTTACCTCTTTTTTGTTTACATGGTGGGACCTGGAACATATTCTCCTGAGTCAAGTATCTCAAGAATGGAGGAAAAAGTATTCAATGTACTCAGTACTTCTATGAAACCAACTTATATTTACTCATACTTTCTTATGAAAGGTAGAACACAACTATAGCCCAGGAAAGGGCCTTTAAATAGGAAAATGGTGGGGTGGGGGTGAGGAGTCTGAGCACAGATAGAAGCATGTGTGCAGAGATGGGTATACAAATGTGTGCAATGAGTATCCATAGACACCCACACGCACCCAGACTTGCGCTTGTTAAGCACACATGCTTGTGCATATGTCTGAAGCAGGGGCACAGAGAAGTCCAGAGGCCTGCCACTGTGTACACACAGAAGTATACACGCATCCACAAAGTGTCCCGAATACCCACAAGTGCCCCTTCCTCTACAGGGACCAATAAAATAAGTAGGTAGGAATATAAGCGGGGATTGCAGGTGTACAGACCCAGGGGCCTCCAGGCTTCAAATGGGCTTTGAAGTGGGGAGGACAGAGGCTAGAAGTGGGGTCATGCTCCACTGAGCATGGGTTCTGTGTTGAAATGAGGTGTGAGGGACATAGCCAGGGACACTAGCTTGGCCAGGCCTATGGTGGGGGTCACACTACTCAAGAACTGAGCTGAGGATGGGAGGCTGAGTTGGCAGAATTGTTTGAGGCCAGACTGGGCAAAATAGCAAGACCCCATCTCTACCGAAAAGAGAAATCAGCTGGGCACAGCTGTAGTCCCAGCTACTTGGGAGGCTGAGGCAAAAGGATTGCTTGAGGCCAGGAATCTGAGGTTGTTGGGAGGTATGAGGAGGCCACTGCACTGTAGCCTGGCAACAGAGAAAGACCCTATCTAGAACAAAACACAACAAAACAAAACAAATCTAACAGGGAGCTGGACTTGGGGGGAGGGAGAGTGCAGGGAATGCCTTTCTGGCTTTTAGCCCAGGGGTGGGGAAGTCAGGGTGCAGACTCCTGGACTGGAACATTTCTGTCCACCCCTTCCCCCAGGCTCTTACGGGTTGGTCTCTCTGCTCTGGCGTTAGGAATCTGTACGCCGGTCACCCTTTCCCCAGATCTCCGGGAAGCCTTCCGGATAGCTGTCCCCTACTGTTCTCTGCAGCAGCCTGCATAGGGGTTGTCTGTGGATGGTGGATGGCGCTTCTGCCCACTCTTAAGCCATTTAGCCGGGCTAAAAACTCTGGCATGGGCGGGGTGGGCGGCGCGGAGGGCGGAAGCCAGGCCGGGAGGCGCCGGTGGTAGCGGAGAAAGGTGGCCCCAGGCCAGCCCCGCCCCTACCTGTGCGAGTCTGGCCACCCGCTCCCAGTCGATAAAAGGCGCCGGTCCCCCGAAGGTCAGCGAGTTCGCCCTCTCCACGCCCGTCCGTAGGGTCCAGCCACGATGTCCGTCCACTTCAGCTCTCGCTCCACAGCCTTCCCCAGCCGCGGCGCCCAGGTGCACCTGAGCTCAGGGCGCCGGGGCGGCTTCGGCAGCAGCAGCCTCTATGGCCTGGGCGCCTCGCGGCCGAGCGTGGCAGTGCGCTCTGCCTATGCGCGCCCGGTGGGCGCCGGCATCCGCGAGATCACCATCAATCAGAGCCTGCTGGCCCCGCTGCGGGTGGACATCGACCCCTCCATCCAGCAGGTGCGCCAGGAGGAGCGCGAGCAGATCAAGACCCTAAACGACAAGTTTGCCTCCTTCATCGACAAGGTGAGGCGGAGAGAACGTCGAGTGAGCATTGCTCCAGGTCACACTGGCCACCCTAACCACTCAGCCTGCAAGTAGGCCAGGCACTGGGAGGACTGGCAGGACTCCGTCGTGGGACCTCACCTCCTCTGAGGCCTTCCTCCTCCCCATTAACTGCCATTGCTATTTTGTCCTCCTGGGTCTCCAAGCCCTCTCTTCCAGCAAGCTGCCCCCTGGGCCCTGCCTTCCTCCAGGAATGTGCCGGGGTTCTGCAGGGCTGCTCTAGCTGGCTGTGTCTGTGAGTCTGCTGGGGCTCTTGAGCCTGTTTTGTCACTGGTATCAGGCTTGGGAGTTCCAGGAGTTCTCCTCTCTCTGGGCCCTGTTCCCTGAGAGGGAGCCGTGTGGAGTGAGGATGAGGGGACTGGCGCCTTCAGATGCTGAAGATGTTTGGAGCAGTGCTGCACATGAAGGGCAGGAAGGAGGGAGCGCCTTCTGCCTGGTCCTCAGCTTCTCTTTGGTGATAGGAGGAGAGATTATACCTGCCCTGGAGATAGCCCATTTGGGGACAGGAAATGGCACTGTAGGGCACTGAGAAGGGGCAAGACAGCCAGGAGCTGTCTACTTCTGCTACACATGGGACAGAGTTGATCAGTGGGTCTGGGAGGAGTGGGGGCAATGCCAGTAATAAGAGCTAGCCCTACTGGGTCCCTCTAGCCAGGGCCCCCTCCTCAAGTTTGCCACCCACTGCCCCCCATGTTGTCCTTTCCTGTGCCATTTAGCCAGGTGTATCCTTCAGATTCTGCTGAGGCCTCCCCAGGTTGCTCCAGACCCAGGCTCCTCCCTGATGTTGAGCTGCATGTCCTACTGTCCGCAGCCTCCGGGTCCTGGTGCCCTGAGTCACTGGATTTGAGGAGGCTTCTCCTGCCTCCCGTCCTCAGTCACTCTAGGTGCTCCTTAAGGACATTCCCAGGGCTGGACATGTGGTAGGTGTTCATTTTCCCTTGGGTTGCCTGTGATGCCCTGTCCCAAGGTTTTGCTGGAGACAAAATAAGGAGAGCGAGGATACTGAGGAAGGACAAGAAGGGGCCCTGGAGTAAAGGGAGGGGGAGACCCCATCAGCCCCAGGATCCAGCAACAGGAAGAGGCAGCCCTTCAGAGAAGGACTGGGGGAAGAGACCTTAGAGCACGTTTGCCAAGACAAAAGCACATCAGTGAGCCAGGCACGCCTGCTCTCTGGATGCCATTGGAAGACACTGGACATAGAGTCTGAGGGGACACAGCCAGTGGGCACCTGGGCACTGCTGGGTGGCTCAAGACCTTCCTGAGTCCTGCTGTGGGTGGCACACTCTGAGCTTCCTCCTCCTTGCCCCTTGTAGGTGAGGTTCCTGGAACAGCAGAACAAGCTGCTGGAGACCAAGTGGGCGCTGCTGCAGGAGCAGAAGTCTGCCAAGGGCAGCCGCCTCCCTGGAGTGTTTGAGGCCCAGATTGCAGGACTGCGGGGGCAGCTGGAGGCTCTGCAGGTGGACGGGGGCCGCCTGGAGGTGGAGCTGCAGAGCATGCAGGATGTGGTGGATGACTTCAAGAATAAGTAATGGTCCCTGTGTGACCCATCAGGGTCCCTATGCCAGCGTGCCCCTCATCAGCTGGTCCTCTGCAAGTGCCCTGCTTTACCAGCACTTTCCTGCCTCATTCCCTAGTTTGTACCTGGGGCAGTTTCCATGACTCTGGCCTTTTCTCCTGACTCAGTCCCAGTGGGGTATCTCAGCCTGCCCCTGACCTGCACTGTTCCCTTTGAGTGCCTGACCAATGCCCCATGGGAGGGTGGGGCAGAAGGGATCTCATGACAGGAGTGCTTTGGAACTTGTGTAACCCTCACAGATCATTCTAGAATGGCTCCTTTTTGCTCAGGTGAGGAGTAGGAGACCAGAGAGGTTCAGGGACGTGGTTGAGATCACATAGCAGGCCATTGTGAGTGCTAGGATTTTGAATTTTAGGTCCCTGACTCTCAGGAGGTGAAGGAACAAACCAAGGAGGGACGTATCCACCGTGAGCAATCGGGAGGGGTGCAGAGGCTGAGGGATGGCTGGGTCAGGGCAGGAGCCAGAAAGGAGGCTGTGAGGAGGGGCTGGGAAGGTGGGCCTTTGCAGACAGGACTCTGAGGTGTCCGCTGAGCTCATTTCTCATTGAACAGGAGCCAAAGGCCAGAGCTTGGGCCAGGCCCCACGTTGGCACATCTGGCCAGTAGGCAGTGGGGGGGGGTAGCAAGTGAGTTCTGTCCTTTGCCAGTGGCTACATGACTGAGCAAGAGTGGGAACACTGGCTCTGACTGGAGGACAGTGAACAGGTCTCTGAGGGGCATCTCCCCGGGGCAAAAGTTAATAGGACTGATCTCACAGGAGGTGGGACTAGACTGGTGCAGGGAAGGCCTGGGGCCAGCTAGCCCCTGTTGCCAGGGACTCTGTAAGTGCATGGATCTTCCCTCTACCCCAAAGGGCTCAGAGTGCCTTTTGGAGAAACCAGGCTGAGCTCCAGGCGGGGGCTGGAGAAGAGGCTGCAAGGGGCCAGGAAAGTGGGAGAGGGGCCTGTGGGCAGTGGCTACAGGACCACCAGTCTGGCTGTTTTGGGCCTGGCAGCATAGCACCAAGGTGGGGGGACAGGCAGGCTCTCAGGGGTTTCCACAGCTCCATAGGCCTTGAGGGAGTGCGGCTTTGGGGATGTAGATGTCTCCCACCTGAGTCTGGGACTCCTAGGGGACTCGGCCTGCCTGGGCATCCTGTTCCTTCCAGAGCTGTTCTCACTGCTCTCAGCAGCTCCAGGGCACTGCTAAGCTCTTGATTCTGACATTCCTTTTTTGAGTCTCCAGATAAACATTAGGCTAGGCCTTTTCTAGGGTAGGCATGGGGGGCCGGGCTGTATAGCTGGTACCTGGTTCTTCCCGAACTTTAGGCGTCCCTTGTCCTGATTCCACTGGGTTTCTTCCTTTCAAACCCCTTTTTCACCCCTTGAGAGGTGGGGGATTAGGTGGTGGTTAAGTCACTGGCTGAAGTCAGCTGCTAGGGTTTAAGTCTGAGCTTTGCCATTGAATAGCTCAGTGACTCTGCTCCCTCTCTGGTGCCATCATTATAGAGTTGTCATGAGGAGGAAATGACTTAATGCCTGGGAAGTACAGAACAGTGCAGGCTCTATGCAAACCAGCCCAAAGCATGGCTGTTACTTTTTTGCTTTCACATGTTTCCCGTGTGTCCAGCCAGCCACTGACCACCCCACCTCCTGCCCCAATGTCAAGATTCAAGCCCCAGAATGGCCACTAGGAATTCAGGGAGATTGGGTTTTGCAGCTCTGACACCTGTCTGAGCAGATTTCACACCTGCATGTGGGGGGATGGAGGCAAAGCAGCGCCAACACCACGCCCCCTCTGCTACTGCAGGTATGAAGATGAAATTAATTGTCGCACGGCTGCTGAGAATGAGTTTGTGGTGCTGAAGAAGGTGAGGGGGACAGATAGGCTGGGGGGGGGGCTTGTCTGAAAACATATGGAACAAGAGGGGACCACAGGGCCTCTCGCCTGAGCAGCACAAGGACCTATGGGCAACGTCTGCCTGGCTTGCTCAAGAAGGGAGAGATGGCTTGGAGAGGGAGCAGTCTGAAAGCCAGCCAGGCCCTTAGCACACAGCCTGTCATATGGGTACATGTGTGTGATTGGCTGGACTTGTTTCTAGGCCTCTAGGGGTTAGATGTAAGACCAAAGGACAGAGGTTAGAGAGATTTCCTGAATAAAGAAGTGCTCTGTCAAGGTCAGGACATTTTATCACAGCCAAAGGTGGTACATGGCTGGCCTGAAATGCTGAATAAATGTGAAGGCAGCTCTCCATCCCTGGAGATTTGCAAGCAGAGGTTGGAAGGCCTTGGGAGAATCTTGGAGGGCCTTGAACTAATGTTCTTTGAGATTCTGATTTAATACACACTCAGGCTCAGTGTTCCAGAAGTGCAACCTGTCTCAGAATGCTGGGTTCTGGCCCTTGGACACTCAGGGATTAAGTAAACATGAGCTCCAGCCCCCAGGATTTTAACCCCAGGAAAGTAGGGCTGGAAGAGGCCTAGACATCATTTTTACCTGGGAGGCATCTGAGGTCCACTGCATCAGAGTCACCTATGCTTCAAGATAAACACATAGGCTGGAGATTTTCCATCTCTAGGAGGGTGTGTGGGAACCTGAATGACTTTATGCTTGGCTATTGACTGATGGGAAGTTGAGGCTCGGAGTTGAAGTGATTTGTTCTTGGTCACAGGCGTAGCTGGAGTGTTCAAGCCATCTGAGTGGTTAGGATCTGGTTAAGTGCTAGCTTGTGGTCCAGTCTGCTTTGGGACCCCAGAGACGAGTGGAGATGATGCCCCATACAGCCTGGAAGGTCAAGGGGAAGCTAAGCTTCCTGCCATGCTTTGTCAGACACCTGGTGGGGCAGGTTGTTTGGCCCTGTGGGTTGGACAGGGCTGGCCTGCTCCCATCTCTACTAACTGTCCCTATGCTGAGGACATGATGTCCCTCTGCCCCGCCCTGTTTCTATCGCCAGGATGTGGATGCTGCCTACATGAACAAGGTAGAATTGGAGGCCAAGGTGGATGCTCTGAATGATGAGATCAACTTCCTGAAGACCCTCAATGAGACAGTGAGGACCTTGGGGGTGGGGACATGTCTTGTCCTATTGTCCTAACCAGGGAGCCATCTGATTCATTCCCCACCACCCCACCTGGCTCTGGGCCAGTCTGAGCTTCTGTTGGGGGCATGGGAGCATTTATCCTGCTGTTCATCCTTTCTAAACTCAGGAATTCATGATGGGCTAGGGCAGCGGTTCTCAACCTGTGGGTTGTGACCCACAGGAACTGTATTAAAAAGTTGCATTATTAGGAAGGTTGAGAACCACTGGGCTAGGGGTTCAGGGAGAGCTGGGAGTGGGGTTAGTCTGTATTGGCCTCGAGGAGACATCGGGTGGCTGCTATGTTTCTAAGGAAGCAGCATTAATTGGGTGGGACAGAAAGGAACCAGAACCATCTCAGGGGACCCCAGGCTGGACTAAGTTCAAAGGTGGGCCAGGTGGGGTACACAGGGGAACCCATGTCGAGAAAGACCAGAGTGCCTGAGAGTTTATCATATCTCTGCTACCCTTTTCCTTTTCCTCCTATCCTCACTTTTTCCTGCCCAGACTTCCAGATCTCTTTCCTCACAAGGATTTAAAACCCTTCTACTCTCATCAGTGGGAATCTCTGGCCTAAGGCAGAAGATATGCTGGCTAATCACTGGGCAGAGGCTGGCCTAGGGCACAATTAGCATGTGAGGCTAAATACAGACCAGTTATTAGATCTCTTCAAAGCAATTTTGGAACTCTTTTTCTGGAATGACCATCAGAGCTGTCGTTGTACAAGGTTTGACAATTAAGTTCATGAACTCACCCTAGAATAAGTGCTTTGAAGGGTGGACTAGGTGCTGGCGTCAATGCATAGCTTCCCAAGGGGAGCACCTCGAAGGTGACCATAGTGACATTCAGCAATGAGGATGAGTTCGTGAACTTAATTGTCCAACTTTGTACACACACATACATTTAGATGTGTCATTATAAAATTGTTTCCTTCTCATTGTGAAAGTAATGCATATTCATTGCAAAAAATCCAGAAAATTAAATAAATCATAAAGTAGACCATTTGTACCTACTATTACCATCTTTGTATCTACCTTTCCAGATCTTTTCTGGGCATATATACACATGCAGATACAAAAGTATATATTTTTAATAAAAACAGAATTGTATCTTTTTTCTCGCAATGGCACGTCCCAGACATACTTCCCTGTCAGCAAGTATAGCTGCATCATCAGGTCAAGGGCTGCAGAGAGTCCATTACAGGGCAGAACATGATCATTTCTCCTGTCTCCTATCGGGCCCTTCTCCAGAGAGCTCACGCCCCAAAGGCATCGCACAGTGAGGAGCCATCATAGCTCCCCACACTCTCACTTTCTTCATCCCCTTAAATCCTAGCAGACTGCTATTTGAGACATTGCTGATGGGCTCTTCAGGGAGCCGGGGTGTGCAGAATGAACTGTATAATGAGTACTGGGTCTGGGTCCCTCACTGGTGACTTGGCCTCTCCAGATTCTCCTTTCTTTCTCTCTCCTGGGCAGAGGCATAGGTCTTGCTCCTGGTCCTGACATTCTGTTTGGTTTCCATAGGAGCTGACAGAGCTGCAGTCCCAGATCTCGGACACATCTGTGGTCCTGTCCATGGATAACAGCCGCTCCCTGGACCTGGACGGCATCATCGCTGAGGTCCGTGCCCAGTATGAGGAGATCGCTAACCGCAGCCGGGCTGAGGCTGAGGCCTGGTACCAGAGCAAGGTGTGTGGCCTCTGGGGACATATGTCCTCCCCCACCAGGGTCCTGTGGGGCAGCTTCTCATACTCTTCAACTTGTCTCAAGCCTTTAGGGCCTGGGGTCCTATTGTTCTGGCAGATACCAGTGATTAACTTTGGCAAGATGTAAAGGCCAGATCCCTGGCCCATGGGAGATCCCAGCCTGATAGGAGGCTGGCAGAGGAAATAGACATGGATTAATAATTATAATAACTAAAGATTGGCAAATACTTACATAGTGCTATGCAATTTTCAAATGTTTTACCTATATTGACTCTTGTAATCTACAGAACAGCCCTATTAGGTAGGTATCATTATTATCCCTATTTTAAAGATGAGGAAACTGAGGCACAGAGAGGTTAAATAACATAAGTAATTCCACTCAGCTAATGGATGGAGGAACAGGGTCCTGATCTTAGTGCCCTGATGCTGGGAGGCTATATCATGACATATATTTTATAGAGGCAGGACAACCTCAGGTGCTGAGAGAACAGGGGGAGAGGAGGGAGCCTGAGGCAAGAATTAGAAGCAACATGGAGGTAGGGAGCCATCCACAGAGCATAGGTAAGGACACAGGTATGCCAGCAAGGAGACCTGGGTTCAGATCCTCGTTCTGTCATTAATCTGTTGTATGGTCCCTGGATAGTACTTTCCCTTGTCTGAGACTCACTGTCTTCATCTGTGAAATGGGTGGTTCTGCTTGTTAAATAGGTGAGGATCTCAGACTTCCAGGGGTTCTCTAGCATGAGGGCATCAAATACTAGGGAGCAGGAAGAGTCCCAGGGTCAGTGGGCATAGCCATGAGGCACATTCCCTGTCTTCTCTGTCCTATCTCAGAAGTGACTGAACTCCTTCCTTATCCTGCTTCCAATAGTCTGGCCCCTTGGCATTAGGCAATGATTGCTGGGGTCAGATTATCCTCTGGAAATATAAGCTGGGAGGGCCCTTCCTTGGATGGGGAGAGGGACACATAGCCTATAATTATTACACACCCTCTGTCATACCTTTCTCTATGGCCCTTCCAGTTTGAGACCCTCCAGGCCCAGGCTGGGAAGCATGGGGATGACCTGCGGAACACCCAGAAGGAGATTGCAGAGATGAACCGGGCCATCCACAGGTTACAAGCTGAGATTGACAACATCAAGAACCAGGTGGGAACCAGCCCTCCTCCCGGTTCCTCCTGCTCCTTGGGGCATGTGAAGGGTGGCCAAGCTCAGGATGAGGAACAGGAAACTGGAGGGGACAGTAACAGCCCTGGACTCCTTGGGCCAGGGCTGGTGCAGCTCACGTTTCAGGCCTACTTGTGATAGCTCTGGACGGAATGCTCTTGGCTAGTCCTGGCACAGGCCAAGAGGAGGAGAAGAGTCTGGATGGGCATGAAGTCTGTGGAGGGAGCCTCAGGCTGGCTAGCTGGGGGAAAGCCACCATTAGTTACCACATTGGTTCTGAGCACTCTGCTTGTACCCAGCCCTGGGTGCCATGCATGGTGCCTGGGAGCTGACAGTTCACTAGGAAGACAGAGGCCAGCAGAAGCCCTTGTTATGGCTCACTTGGCCCCTTCCCACTCTGCCTTCCTTTCTATGCCTCCCCTCGTGCCAGTGCCGTGCTTGCCTGCTTCCTGTACCTTGCATTTGCCAGGCACGGTCATGCTTCAGGGCCTCTGCACTTGGTATTCCCCCCACCTGGAATGTGGTTCTCCCAGCTCTGACAGTGGATGTCCCTTTCTCATGCCTGGGGAACAGGACAAAAAACCCCTTCCCAGAGATGTCTTCCTCAAGCACCTCAAGCTACTGTACCAGCAGCCTATCTGAAGTTCTTTGAGTTGCCTATTACTGTCTGAAAGTTTATCTTACTAATTCAGTTACTGATTGTTCCTGTCTCCACTGGAATATGACAGATGCCTGGAAGCAGGGACCGTGTCTGTCTGGTTCACTGCTCTTCTCTCTTAGTACCTGGCTCATGGCGGAGCATAGGGCTCAGATAAGAAGCTGATTGGGAAGATGCTTTGCTAGAAGCCAGAGTTGGGGGTGTTGATGGGGGGGGTCCCCAAGCCCTGGCTGAGTGACAGGTGTGGATGGGCAGCTCAGCCTGAGCAGGGGGGAGGGAGGGAAGGTTACGCACACAACAATTTCACAAGGCTGATTTCCAGATTAGCTGAGGGTGGAGGTTGAAATGGAGGTGATTTCCCCAGAGATATCCTCCCACTGGAGCCCTGTAGGCCTATTTATGGGAGGGCAGAGGTGGTACCCTAGCCCACATGTGGAGCTGTGAATCACCTCAACCGGGGGCATAAAATGAGACTCTGTCTCTTAAAAAAAAAAAAAAAGGCCCAGTTTCTAGGCCAGGAGAGGAGGCATAGAGTAGTGAAAGGTGGTTTCCCAAACCCTGAACCTCCACCACGTCAGGCTCTCTACTCACACAACAGGGCAGATCCAGGACCTAGAGTCTGCTGCCATTGAGATGTCTCCAGAGGTAGCAGGGATGGCCTTGGCCTAGCAGACACCAGTGTGGTAGGACAGGGTGCCTGCACAGTGGTCAAGGGCAGAGTATCAGGCCCTGCTAGGAGATCTGAGGACAGAGGGGTTGGTGAGAAGGGAGGTGGAGGATCCCTGGCTAAGGGCTGGGTGGCAGCTCTCTGAGCCAAATCAGTGAAGCTTGGGACTGCACAGGCTCTTGGCAGTGTGGGAGAAGCCCAAGGCAGAGGGAACTCTAAGGCCAGGCAGGAAGCAGCAGTTGCTCAAGGCAGATACATGCCCGTCAGGACCAGGCCATCTGTGACCAAACCCGTGGGTTGTGGATCATACATCCCATGGCATCTGCGGGTATATAGTAGGTAGGGTCTGTCTGTTCCAAACCCCACTGTTCTGACCCTTTCCCCAAATGGTTCCTCTTTTAAAGATGGTTTCTGGTCCTTGTCAGCTGCTGGACATTTGGGAACTCAGTTAAAATCCCATAATCTTGGCACTCCTCCAGTTAGGGGGTGTGGTGACTGGGACTTGAAAATCATAACAGCATTTATTAATAATCATTACAATGGCATTTATTAAATACTTCCTCTGTGCTAGACAGTGTGCCAAGGACCTCTTGTGTATTATCTCATTTCATCTTCGATTTTCCCTATTAGGTAGATGAGGTGATCATTGCTTTTTCAGAAAAGAGGAAACTTTGGCTTAGAAGGGTTGATACATTCAGGGTCATGAAGATAGCTATTCAGTGGCAGATCCGGAAATGGGAGCTAGCAGCACTGGATACCCAAACCCATGTATTTAAACCCTTGGGAGTCCCTGGTGCTTTGGGGAGTGAGTGGTACTCATGAAGCCAACTTAAGCAAGTTGCTCTGGTGTTTGCGGTGGGATGGCTAGGTAGGAGGGCAGTGACTGGTGAGCCCTGTCCCCCCAGCTCACAGCTCCACTACTGCCCACAGCGTGCCAAGTTGGAGGCTGCCATTGCTGAGGCTGAAGAGCATGGGGAACTGGCCCTCGAGGATGCTCGTGCCAAGCAGCAGGAGCTGGAGGCTGCTCTACGCCAGACCAAGCAGGACATGGCCCGGCAGCTTCGTGAGTACCAGGAGCTGATGAATGTCAAGATGGCCCTGGACATTGAGATTGCCACCTATCGCAAGCTGCTGGAGGGCGAGGAGCAGAGGTGAGGATGGGGAAAGCAGGAAAAGAATCCTTCTGGGGCTTGATATTCACCTGTTTTCAAGCATGCCCTATGTGTCCCTCCTCTGCAGAGCACTGGATCTGGGGGCTGCAGGGAAGGCAGAGCTGATACCTGTTTCTTTGCTCCCAAGGAGATGACCTTCCAGAAGGAAAGGCCCCATATAGTATAAAGCTCAGTGGGGAAGCCCCTTTGTGAGTGTGGCTATTAGCGGGGTTATCTTACTTGATTCTCTGAATACGTTCAGGAAATCAGGTCAGATGCTGATTCCCTAGTGTGCAGAGGTGAAAGTTGTGGTTTAGTTTTAGTAAGTGAGGGGACAGGCCCAGTGTGCAGCCCAGGTGTGCTGATTCCTTGTGCAAGCATCTTCCAAGACACCAAGAAGTGGCACTTCTCACTATATACCTAAGTGCTGTGTCATGTGGATTGACTGACTGTGGTAGACTCCAAGGATTATTTTCTCTGTCCCCGGGGATGTTTGTGTACTCACCTGTGGTCAGAGTGTAGGCTGGGGTGGATTTGTGAGTAGTCTGATGGAGAATTCTTCACGAACAACATGGTGCCTCTATGAAGTTGGGCCTGCATGTTCACATTATGGGTCGGTTGATTCATTTAGAGTTGTACCTTAGGGTAACATCAGGATTTGGAGAGGGAGAGAAGCAGCCGTGTGGGCCCTCAGGGCGGTTGCTGATCTGCTGAATAGACACAGAACATCTGTAAAAGAAGCCCACAGAGACCCTCAACTTGCATTTATGTCACACCAAGTTTATAAAGAACTTTTTCTTTTCTGAGCATTATTCCTGAAGGGCTGGGGAGAGAGGCATGGAGCAGAGAGGAAGGGGTTGGGGAATGAAGGGTGCCAGGGTAGGGGGTCTGGATTGGGAGGGCAGAGGACACATGCCCCTGAAGTTAGTCTACCCACTTGGGGCTGGTGCCCAGTCTTCCTTGTGGGAAGAAGAGTGAACACCAAAGGTCTCTGAGGAGAGGGGAAGGGAGAAGCTGATCTGGCCACAGGGAAGCTCCACCCAAGATGACTCCCTCTGCTTCCTCCTCCCTCATGGGTGCAGGGACCCATTTTCTCTGAAACCCATATCCTGGGCCTTTTGTTCTCATAGACATCAAGCTGGGACCCATTAGAGTGGGACCTGATCCAGCCTCCTCTCATGAACAGATGAGGGGACTGAAGCTCAGAGATGGTTATTGGTATGCTCAAGATCACACAGCAGGTGGGAGACACCCCTTTCTGAGAGCCTAATGTCATCCACATTGCTATTATCAGGCTTAGATCCTGGTTCCCTGAAAGGATCTAAGGGGATCCTGAGGGGACATGGAGATGGCTACTTTGCTTTTATCCCTTAACCCAGTGATTTTCAACCAGTGTGCCATGAAAACTTTTAAAAATCATTAGTGAATTTATTTTCAAAAGAAGTTCAAAGCACAGTGAGTGCATTCTTTTCTTTACTCTTTTTTTTAATCAACATGATGTAAGTGTGCCGTGGAAGTTTAACTATAGGTTCAAGTGTGCTGTGAGATAAAAAAGGTTGAAAAACACTGCTTTAGCCCTTTAGCCCTTCCCAGGGGCAGATCCAGGAGTTATGGACTAGAGACTCATACAAGTTAGGGGCTTTCTTTACAAATGCAAATTTACAAATAAAAAATTTGACACAAAAGTTAATCTTTATTTAGAATGAGAAAAGAAAAGTCACACAAATCACGAGCGTCTTGGATATTCAGGGCTCTTCCTTCTGAGCTCCTTAGCTCTTGTTGTACAAGAAGCTCCTAGAGCTACTGCCTCATTGCAACCTGGCTCCTCCTCCTCTCCCAGCAGCGCCAGCAACTCCCAGCACTTGCAGGGGTCATTTGAACAAAGCCCCTGGAAGCTTCCAGCAAGCCTTCTCCTGTCATTGGCGTTTGTTCTGCTCCCTTCCCAGGCTTGGGGCTGCAGAGGCCCGCTAGGCTCCCTTCACTACCTCCACCAAAGTGAGCTACTTCTCCCTGCAAAGCAAACTGATCTCCCAGGACAAGGGTCTGGTGACAATGGGGCTGTGAGTCACAAAGCAAACATACCCAGCTGTCTAAGGTGGATTTTTAATATCCACTGCAAACCTGTTTCACCCCTCCCCCCAGGGAGTCCTGTTTAATCAGTCAACAATTCACTAATTATTACAGCACATTTAAAGCAATTACTTTGCCAGGCTTCATGCTGGGGTTGGAGATGCAAGTATCCATAGGAAACAGACACTGTTTAGGATTTTATGATGGGTGAGTGCTTTGGGCAAATTGTGTCATCTAACCCTACCCACAGGCCTATGTATGCTCTTGGTCCTGTGTTTAGGCTCAATTTATGGGTAGGAAATGGAGGCTCTGAGACATTGCCTGAGGCATGTAGCCAGTAGGTAGGAGGGCCTAGGTACACCTCCCCTCCCTCCCTCCTCTGGCTCTCTCTGCAGCGGAGCGGCTGGAAGTGTGGGGATTCTGCTTGGGCCTGAAGGAGGGGCACATGGGAATGCTTCCCTTCAGCCCTGAGGAAAGAGCTGCTCTCATAGGTCTGTCCTTTGCCCCCAGGTTGACTGGAGATGGAGTCGGAGCTGTGAACATTTGTAAGTTCTTGGATATAGCCTCCAGGAAGCATCTCCTGCTCAGTTCAGAAAAGGCTGGGTCTGGAGAATGACAAACCGGACCCAGGGTCCTGCTGGTGGGCACAAGCCCTCCTTCCCTTCACAGCTTCTGGCCAGTTCCCTGGAGCACACATCTGGCCCAGCTCAATGGCCCTGGAAGGCAGTATGGGAGGGCAGGGTGGAGCAGGGAGCCCCTGAGGAGTGTCCCCTCTCACTGTCAGAGGCTGCTTGGGAGTTGGCCTGTGGAGGGCAGTGGAGGGGAGTGAGGTAGGAAGGTGTGGGGGGAGGGAGGGAGAACCTAAGGAGGAGAGTGGGGGTTGGGTAAAGGGATGAGGTCCCTGGTGGGGGTTCTCCACTGACAGGAGACCTTCTCCCTCTCTCCTAGCCACGACCATTGGTGGCAGTAGCACGCTGACCTTCGGGGGAACCATGGGCACCAATGCCCTGAGCTTCTCCAGCAGTGCTGGGCCCAGGGCCCTGCAGGCCTATTCCATCAGGACTCCATCCATCGGCCACAAGAGTGTCCGCAACTGAGTCTCATTCCCCTGCCCATAGTCACAGGGAGACCCCCATCCCTGCCTCCTTTTCCAGGTCTCACAACAGTCTGAAAAATGATATCAGAATTCAATGCTTACAATAAAGCAGCATCTTTGAGGCCTGCATGATCCCTATGCCTGGCATGTGATCTTCTGGCTTCATTAGGCTGGCAGGGAAGTGGGTGGGGAAGACAGGGGACTAGAGAGGCAGAGCCTGCCTTGATAACTAGGAAGGTTCTTGTGCAGAAGGCTAGGAAAGCACACGGGGAGTGGAGCAGCAGCTCTAAGGAACTGGATTCTAAGTGGACAGCCAAGACATCTCCCAGTGCTCCCGAGGAAGCCCAGAAAGGTCAATGGGAAATTCAGGCTCTGCAAGCAAGTGGGCAGCAGAGTCTTCCCCTGCCAAGGGGGGTGGAACAGCTATTCACACCCCTCCCCCTATGCCTGTGCAGCAGGGAGAGCACATTCCTCTTGTGGTGAGAAGGCCACAATGTCCAGCTGCTCCAGACCTGGGTTTCGGGTGGCCCAGCCAACTCTCATGCCAGTGCCCTCAGCCCTTCCTGGTGCTGGGCTTGCCAGATGTGTGGTCAGGCCAGGCCCTGGGGCCCTGCAGGGACTCTCTGCATCTTGGGTTCTGTGGTACATGGGGTGGGAGGAGGGCTGTGTGCATATGTGAGGGGGGACATCGTAGGGTCTAGGCCCCAGGTCCAGGGTCTGTGCCTGGATCTTTGGCAGAGGATAGGTAATGTATCTGGACCCATGAGAATCGGGTAGAAGGCAGGAAGACCTCTGTGTGTCAGGGCCATGCTCGTGAGGGGCCTCTGGACGTCATGGTCTCTGACACAGAGTCTGTGTGTGTGTTTTGTGTCAAGGCCTGTGCATGGGGAAATCTGTCTCTTACTGGCAGCAGTGCACTAATGGGTACTGGGAGGCAAGGGGACCCTCTGTGTTTGGGGCTGCCAGCCCAGGCCCTGTGCAGTGTGTGCAGGGCAGGGCAGGGCAGGGGCAGGTACCTGGAGACAGCCCTCCCTTCCTCCATGTCAGAGGATGGCTTGTCTGTTGGCCGCTGACAGCTGAAACCTGGGTGGGAAGGCGAAGAGGGCAGGACAAAGGAAACATTCTCAGGGTGCTTGTGTGAATGACAGAGAGCTTTATTGGAAACACGGAAACCCAGCAGAGGGAGAGGGAGCCTGTTACCACCCTGGGTGTAGAGGCAGGGGAGGCCCCACACAGCAAGTCCACACTGAAGGGATCATCTGGCCTTCAGAAGCTAAAGGCATCCAAGCCACCAGAGCAGTCCGGGGTTGGGCCTCTGCCCTAGGGCTGTGAAGACACTTGGGGGAGGGAGAGCTGCCGGCAAGGAGCCCAGCCTCCCCTGGGGAAGTGAAGAGCAGCGGGGTGGAGGGTGCAAGACGGTAAGGTGGGCAGCTGGTTCCCGAAACCCTTCCTCCTCCCATCCGGAGGCGAGGCGGAGGAAGCGGCGGGCTAGTTCGAGGGGTGTTTTCACCTATGCCGGCACTATGCGAACCGCACTGACCGGCCGCTGGCACAGGGCTGGCCGCAAGGCGCGCACATCCCGGTGCTCACCGCCAGGTTCCCGGTGCAGGGGGCGCTGCAGACGCTGCCGGTCACCGGCCGGGAGCCCGACACGCAGAGGTCCCCACACACGACTCCGCCCCGGGAGCTGCTGACACCTTGGGGAGGAGGACAGGGCTCAGTTCCTGTGAGGTTGCGTCCGCAGCCCCTACTTGCTGGCCAGAGCCCTCTGCTCTTGCTCAGAGCTTCTCCCCTTGGTTTCTACCGGCTCTGCGCTCAAACACCCTCGCTCCTGGGCACGCCCTTCTGCAGGCTGACCTCAAGCAACCTCCATACACTGTTAGCCCAGCCCCTCTCCATAAGCAGAAATGCAGTCACCCCTCTTGACAAGGGGACCCATTAGGAGAGTTCATCCTTGTGTGAACTTCACAGGGTGTGCTTAGACCTAGATGGTAGAGCCCACCGCACACCTAGGCTGTAGGGCATGGCCTGTGCTCCTAGGCTACATGTGCTCCATGGCTACATATCTGTACAGCATGTCACTGTGCTGAATACTGCAGGCAACTGTGACACTTGATAGTATTCATGTAACTGAACATAGTTAAATACAGAAAAGGTACAGTAAAAACATGACATAATCTTATGGAACCACTGTCCTACATTTGGTCAATAGTTCTAAACGTCCTTGTGTGGCACATGACTGTAGCTACTTATGTTACCATCCCTCTTTCCTTTTAGGGTCTGCAGATTATGGCCACAGACTGGCTTCCTGTTTTATAAACAAAGTTTTATTGGAACCCAGCTATACCTATTTATCTATGTGTTACTACAGCCATGGCTGCTTTGGCGTTACACCCAGACTGCATAGTCCACAAGCCTACAATATTTATTATCTAATGCTTTATGAAAAAATTTGCCTGCCCCGAACCCTGTATCATTATTTCAGAACTCATAATACAGATTACTTACAGACATTTACAGCACCAACGCCTTCACACAACCTTGTGGGAAGAGCAGAGACCAAAATTAGTTTGGGGGAGCAAAACTGATGAAATCTGTTAATCTACTAAATTCCTGCCCCCAAGTAATGTCGCTGCACCTTAGAGGTATATGGCATGCTCCTGGCTTTGCAGCAAGAGCTGCAGCATGACCTTGGGGAGGCGGAGAAGACCTCCTTCCCACACATGCGGTCCTTACCTCTGCTCCTCGCCCTCCAGCAGGCGCCTGTAGGTGGCGATCTCGATGTCCAGGCCCAGCTTGGAGTTCATCACCTCCTGGTACTCCTTGAGCAGGCAGGCCATGTCCTGCTTGGCCTTCTGCAGGGCGCTCTCCAGCTCAGCCAGCTTGCAGCGGGCGTCAGTGAGGGCCGCCTCGCCCTGTTGCTCAGATTGGGTCACAGCAGCCTCCAGCTTGGAGTTCTGGGAAGCAGGAGAGGGTTATTAAGAGTCCTTGTTCTGAATTCAGAGTCAGAGGCCAGGTTTTCACTGAACATTGACTGGCAGAAGAGGAAGGCCCTATCCATTTGTTAGGTCAGGGGTTGCAAATTAATCCTCCCACGGAATGTTAGCACAGTGTCTTCAATTTCAGAAATTTAACATAAGATCCAGATTCTTGGCTTCTTTTGAAAAATCAGAGCATCTGGCGACTCTGGATCTGCATTTCAGTATGGCCTGCCTTAGTTGGATCTGTTGAGCTCTGCCCTTTGTGCCTTCTAGTTTGCTGTAGTCCTTACTACTATCTGCCTTGGATATGGCCTGCCTCACACTGGCAAGGTGCCTAACTTAATCCCTCTGCTGCAGGCTAACCTCCATTCTCTTCTGCACTGAGGAGTGGCCAGGCTCCCATACTTGGCACTATCTTGATATCTGAGCCTGTGATCACTGATGTAGAATTTTAGGTCACAGAGGTTAAGTGGCTTTCCTGAATCACATGGTGAGCTAGTGGCAAGGCTGGTTTGAGAGCCCAGGTTTCCTGCCTTTTAGATCAGTGCTATTTCTTCTGCCTGAATCTGCCCCTGGGACCAGGAAAGCCCTTGTCACCTCATTTCTCTCCATACTGTTCTCCTGCCTCCATTCATCAAGAATGGAGAACATGTGCCATGCAGAAGACTGCCCTGATGTTTAATGTTTGCCCTTTCCCCACACGTTGTCAAGGTGTCTAACTTAAATCCCTCTGTTGTAGGCTAACATCATTCTCTTCCTACACTGAGTGGTGGGCTGGGTTCCTGTACCTGGCACTTGGCATTCTCCACCTCAGCTGTCAGCCTCTGGATCATGCGGTTCAGCTCGTTGATCTCCTCCTTGGTGCGGCGCAGGGTCTCCCCATGCCTGATCACCGTGGCCTTCATCTCCTCACACTGGGGGAAGCAGAGATGCTCATGAGGCTCAGGATGGGACACGTCAGCCATTCAGGACCCAGGGTGATTGTGCAGGTTGTGCAGTGCTCAGCCTGTGCAACCACACATGGCAGTCCCGCCTTGCCACCCCAATTCCACAGAGGCAGCCTTTCTCTTACCATCCTTAGAGATTGGAATCCCCGGACTGAAGAAGCCTTTTGTAAGAGACACCTTGCATCCCTCCCACTGCCATGTGTAGGAGGCAGGTGTCCTGTGCCACTCACCTTGCTGCGGTACCAGGACTCGGCCTCGGCCCGGCTACGGCTGGCAATATCATCATATTGAGCCTTAATCTCAGCAATGACGCAGTCCATGTTCAGGTCCCGGCTGTTGTCCATCTTGACGACAACTGAGGTGTCTGAGATGTGGGCGTGGAGAACGCGGATCTCCTGTAAGACAAGGGGTGGTAAGAGCTTCTTACCCAGAACCCTACTGTCAGCAGCCCACCCTCCGATAGTCATTCCCTATCCCCTTCCCATGCTCCTCCAACACCCTCCAAATTACATCTTCCCCATCACCCCTGCCCCTTCTCAATGCTCCCGAGGTCAAAGTCTGGAGGCTGACAGGAAGAGGTAAGAGAGTCCATGTCTGAGGTCCCCAACTCAAACCTTTGGGTCTAGGACCAGAGTTCACCAACTTGTGATAATTGCCACTCTGCATGGCAGATGACAGGTCTAGCTACACTTCTTCACCTTCTCACAGTAAATCTGCCTTGGATCTCTCAACTCTGTTCTGTACCCCCCACTGCCCACCAGGGGGTTCAGCAGCTGAAATGTTGACAAATGCTTTCCAATGTCTAACTCATATCCTCCTTGCTGCCCCACTGCTCTGGGGCTCCTCACCTCCTCATACAGTCGCCTCAGGAAGTCGATCTCCTGGGTCAGGGCCTCCACATTGGCCTCCAGATCTGATTTGCTTAGGTAGGCACAGTCCACATCCTAACGAAGAGAAGATGGCACAGGTCTCATTGGGGAGACCACACAGAGTTTTCTTTCTTTTTTTTCCCTATAGGGAGGGCACCCCATCAGGCTGAGCGAATTCCCTGGAAAGCCACCTAAGATGCTTTTGCCAGTGCCTGCTATCATGGTGTGGGGGAGCCCTTTATACTGTTAGTGGGGTAAGGGAAATGTTTGGGTAAAGGAGAAAGGTTTCTAGGACTTCCTCTGTACCCACTGAGATGACTCCTCTAGAATCCATA